TCAGGAGATGCACATGCCTTCCCTGATGCTGGGAAAGACTTCCCCTCAGGAAAAGGGGAAGGGAGGGAGGGAGGGAGAGAGAGAGAGAGAGAGAGAGTGCAAGCGTGTCCATCCATCCTCTATACTGTTTCACCTGAACAGCAAGGACAGGCGCAGCTCTTCCTTCTGCTTGTCACAGGCCAGGACATGAGATACTCCAGGGGATTTTGCAGCCCTGTTTTCCATGGAAGGGATCTAACAGCTGTGACTGGGAGCATGCGCCCACTAACTACAAGGGAAGCAGGTTCCAGGAGCCCACTGATAGGAAGGCCCCAGCAATGGGGGAAGGTTTGTGGATTCTGCTTAAATTCTTCTCCATTTCATTTTGCTACAGAGGCAGTAAATCAGACGAGGGACAGAGGGTCACTGCTCAAGTGCTACTAAAAATAAATATATTAAACAGTTTAGGAGACACACCTGCCTTCCCTGATGCTGGAAAAGACTTCCCCTCAGGAAAAGGGAGCCTGTTTAACAGGCTCTGATGTGCCTCTCAGCAGCACCTGCTCTATGCTGCCAAGCTGTGACAGAATGAAACAGCCAGGTAAGGCCCAGGGCATCTAACGGTACCACTCAGAGATGGACCTTTACACTTGTGGGGAAAATACTCAAGGATTGCAATTTCAACAAAAAATGCAAAACATTTCATTATGGTTTTTTTCAAACAGATGACTCCTTAAAAAAAAGGGAGAGAAGAATCCAACAGAAAGGCCAAAGCCTGTGCCAGGTGGAGCCTCTGCTCAACTGAACGTGAGTTAAGAGGTATCTGCCCTGGGGGCAGGGTGGTGGTGGTACATCTCATAGCTCTTCTCTTACCGCTTACTTTGTGTTGTAAAACCTCAGTCGTTCAGTATACTGACAAAGAGGATCTACCCACCAGCTCTCTCAGCTGTGCTTCTGCCTTCATCAAGAATAAATACAAAGGCATTTCTCCACCTCAGTGACACAAGCACTGGAAAGTCCACCAGGTAATCTCCATGGGGAGGTGGGCACAGCCAAGAGAAGAGGTTTTCCTGTCCAGACAGCAGGACTAGCAGACTGCACACCTATGCCACGTGCTGTGGCCCTACATCCCTTCATGGAAGGCTGAGCAGAGTGTGGACACTTCAAAGCTAGCCATAGTGTTGCTAAGAGTGGATACTGAATCCCAAAAGCCGTCTCTCTCAGAGCCTGGCCTGTCCAGAATGGCACAGTAGAGTGCAGTGTCCAACATGGTAGGTTGTGTTATGAAACTGTCCATCTGTCACAAGATGAGGCAACAAGGAAACAGAGACGGCCCAAGACAGACAGGCCCAAGGTGCAGGGGGGCACAATAGGGGAGGAAATGTGACAGAAAGCAATATAGTCCTGCAGGGGAGTATCAGGGAAAAGATGCAGCACGGAGCAGCTTGGCTGCTGAAGAGCTCTGCCAGAGATCCCGTCCAAACAGAGAGCATCTTCTCAGCCCCAGGCATGTAGAGGAACTGGGGACTCCACAAAGAAGCATCCGCTGAGGAACAAAAAAAGAGCTCTTCTGTTTACTTTGAGACATCCATGAGTCAAATTCTATTTAATCTGCAAGCAGCCAACAGGTTCTGTTTCCCTTCAAATGCCCATTGTGCTCCTGGCTGTGGAAGCAAGGTCAGGTGGGTGGCCAGTTAGATCCCTGCAGTTGTCTGAAGGCTTTTTGAAGAGGCGTTTGCCTGTGACATACATAGGGGGTGTGCATGCGTACCTGTCTGTAGGTGAAAGTATGAATGTGTACGGACAGGAGCACAGTATTCCCAAGAGTTGTCCTGATAAAAGTCCTCTCAGAATTTGCCTTGCTTTAGTTTGTCGATGTGGTAGGTGAGCTTCAGTGCTGGCCCCAGCTTCAGCCCCATGTATTTCATCATCATGTCACTCCGCAACAAGAGCAAAGCTTTCCCGTCGATCTCCTGGAAGCAGGAGAATGTCAGCATTAGAGTGAGGCCTGCTCTGCTCTTCATACCCATGATATTCCTAGTACGGAAACTCCTCCCCATGTCTCTCCAACTCATCCACCATCCTAATGGGAAATGGCAGTTGTTGGGAACCTCTTCTATCCCTCTCCCCATTAGTTTCTCATGTCATTTTCATTTTCAACACTTACCTGGAGTATTTGGAAGAAGCTCATAAACCAGACTCAATGCACTATACGGCACTTTCATAGATTTCATAGACATTAGGGCTGGAAGGGACCTCGGAAGATCATCGAGTCCAGCTACCCGCCCAAAGGGCAGGAAGTCAGCTGGGGTC